GTCATTATCTTATTTTAGACTGATAATTGTATTGTAGTCATGCTTTAAAAAAGAGATCTTTAGGAATCTTTTTGTAAGATGTATAGATAATATGGAATGCTGTCTACACTTCTTTCAAAGTACTATAGAGAGGGGATAAGAAGATGGGGGTTCAGATGATACAATACTGCCCATGAGTTGATAATTATTGAAGCTGGGTGATAAATAATGAGATTATTATACCATTTTGTCTACTTTTATATATGTTTGAAACTTTCCATAAGAAAAGTTTTTTATAGGAATAAATAAAAATAAAGCATTCTTGAGTTGGTGTGACTCTCATGTACCTCCCAGAAGAAAATAAAATCTTGTCAGGAACACTATAAGTTAAACACAAACTCTGAAACATATGCATAGGAATATTAGCTCACAATTTAAAAAGACAAAAAAACAATAACACTAAATACATGAGGAAGAAAGACAACAGGAATAAAGAATTAGCCAAGAAAACAAAGTTCAGAATCAAACCTGCAAAGACAGCAAATATATAAAGTAATAAATAAAAGAGTATATGGAAAAATAATAAAGAAGTCAGGGATGATTAAAACTGACCAGTAAGATTTGTAAAAGAACAAAAGAGAACTTCTAAAAATAAAAAAAGTATAATCTTAAAAGGAAATATTCAATGGACTGGTTTGGTAGTAGAATAGAACCAACAAAAGAAAGAATTAGTAAAGAGAAAGATCTCAAAACATTACTCAAAATATAAAACAGAGAGATCAAAGGATAAGAAACATTAAAAAACACATAAGCAGAAATGGAGCATAAGATGGGAATGTACAATAAATTTCTATTTGGAATTCCAGAAGGATATATTAGAGTTTGAGTGGGTCAAAGACTTACAAAATTCTATAATTAATAAAAAGTACTAATCCCCAGTTTCAGGAAGCCCAATAAATCCAATATATAATAAAAGAAATCTACGACTATGCAAATTATAGTAAAGCTCCAAAATAACGACAAAAAAGATGATAAAAAAGATGCACCAAAAAGAAAATACAAATTATTTGTAAAGCAATGAGAATTATACCAACAGTTGACTTTTATGAAAGTCAGAAATAGAAAATAGCTTTTAGTGTTGAAAGAAAATACTTTTCAGTGTAAAATTATATATCCAGAGAAACAAAGTTTGAAAAATGAGGGTAAGACAAAAACATTTTCAGGCGAACACAAATGAGAGACTTTACCACTGAAAGACCCTCATGGGACAAAATTTCACAAGCCTGGTAAGTACTACGTAAGGAAAATATTTCAAAATGAAAGGTATGAAATGCAAAAAAGAAAAACAAGCAAAGAAAATGGTAAACTAGTGGGTAGTTCTAAAAATATAGATCATGTCTAACGACTTAACAATCAAAATAGAAATAAAAATCTGGGTAATAATAGCATATGATTCAGAAAAAAATATTAAAATTAAAGCATTCTATGGTCCTTAGCATTATTCAAGAGAAAGGTAAAAAATACTAACTTTAGAACTTAAATATGCAAACTAAAATATGCATAATAACTACTAAAAGAATAGATCAAGTGCATAATTTTAATCTGGTAAAGCAGAAAAAAAGTAAAATAAAGAAAATAAGAAAAACAAAACTATGAACCTAAAAGAGGGCAAAAAGGAAAATAAAGAACAGAAAGGAAGTTAGAAAATAAAAGTAAAAACAACAAAGTAAAAATGAATCCAAATTTATTAGTCAGCACTATCAATTTAAATGGATTAGACACTTCAGTTAAATGCAAAGATTGTTTAAAAAATAGATTTTTTAAAAAGTCTGGCTATGTGTGATTTACAAAGAGACCTAAAAAACATGGAAGATTGAAAAAAATAGAAAAATAGATATCAGGCAAATTCAAATAAAAGTTACCACAGCTTTATTACTGTAAAATAAAATAAGCTTTAAGGCAAAAAGCACTACTAGAAACAAAGGGAGACATAAAAAGCTCAATTCATTAAAAAGATACAAATATAAATGTAGATGTACTTAACAACAATCAAACAAGACAGAATATCTACATCACCATTGCTATTGACATGTGTTGGATGTCCTAGATGTCTGTCATGAAGGACAAGAAAAATAAATGAAAGATAAAAGAACTGAAAAGGAAGAAATAAAACTGTAATTATTCACAAATGATATAAGCTTATACAATGAAAAATACCAAATAAATCTATGGAAAATTATTAGAATTAGTAAGCTTAGTAAGAGTGCCAGATATAGGAATCAACATACAATAATCAAGTAAATTTCTCTATTTGAACAAGAAAATAAAACTTTTTAAAAACCACCATTTACAACACTTTTAAAAAAATCTATATAAATCTAACAAAAGACATGCAAGGACCTCATACAATGTTATTAATAGACACTGAAAAAGGTCTAAATAAATATATCATGTGAAAGACTCAATATGGAAAATTCTAAAACTGGTATGGAAGAAGAGAAAGGGTGAAGAATTGCCAAACACTCCTAAGAAAAAAACAGGCAGGAAGAATTGGAACAAACAGCCCAGTGGGACTGAAAAAAGGCTCCAAAAACACATCCCCACAGATGTGCGTATGCTTGATATAAAGCAGATGATACTTTATTATTTTCATTTAAACTATGGAAAAACATCACACACACTTGGGAATTATGATATATTTCCCAATATAAAAAAAATCAAGTTATTAACCAAACAGCTGTATGGACTATCGACCAGATGCTCTTTGTCATGTAAATGTGATGCCGTTAGTACTACTGGAAAAAATATCTTTAAAAATTTTGTGAAATACCTTTTTTTTGTTTTTAGTCAATAGTATTTAAACTTTTGTGATTCACATGGTCATGACATACTATTAGGACCTTACTAATTTTATAGAGATAATTTTTCTAAAGAACAACACACAGGCATAAAATCCTGAGCAACAGAAAACAAGATGGGAAGAGAAAAGAAATGCTCTTGTTCTACTTATTAATTGTTTGCTCATATACCTTTGAATAGGTATCGGGTATAAGACATAGAACCAGGCATTGTAAGACATTCAACGAATGCATGAAACATGGACTTACAGTTCAGTTGGGAAAACAAGGCATAAATACGTAAGCAGTTAAACAGCAATCTTAGAATTAAAACAGGTGTCTCAAAGCAATACAATAGCTACACATGGCAGGTGGTGGCAGGAGAGCCGTTTTTAAAAAAATTTTATTTTATTTTGTCAATATACAATGTGGTTGATTATTGTGGCCCATTACTGAAACCTCCCTCCCACCTCCCTCTCCCCACTCCCTCCCAACAACCTCATATCTGTTCACTTGTCATATCAACTTCAAGGAATTGTGATTGTTGTGTCTTCTTCCCTCCTCCCCAGTTTATTTGTGTAGAGCCATTTTAATGTAAGTTTCCACCTGAATTCTCAACCTTTTTTTGATTATAACTGAAAATCAGTACTTTCCTTTGGTACCAGTGATTTCCTGGAGATGTCTGTTCTTCGGTGACAGTCTACTTCTTTCTCTAATTCCCCACATTATGTTGGAGCATACATCACTTATTCTCATGCTCCCATGAACTGTCTTCTGCTGAAGTCCAAGTTATTCTTCATTCTTTCCTTCTATATCACTAAATATGCTGATCTCCAGGACACGTGTATCCCTTCCTTTACGATTTCAGCAACTATTCCACAATCTTCCTCTCTACATATTCTGTGTCATCTAGTGATAGCAATATTGATGCAGATGATACTTTCAACACCCTAGACTCACAATACCCTAACTTCCAAGCTTTGATGAATGTCATCTCCAAAATCCCTCAGGAATAAGTCACATGCTTTGGACTAGGTCATCACTCTCAGCTTTCTCTCCCCCAAACTCTCAAAATTGAAACATCTCCTCTATGACCAAAGCTATTAATTTTCTTCTTCTCCTGGTCTTATTATTAAGGGATTTACTCCATCCTCATCATGATCTGCATTTCTTCAAGTCCTCCCTACTTGGGCAGTTTAACAGAACCTTCTTCATCTCTTCTATTCCTCTGCATGGTGCGTTTCTTTAGTCAACCAATTTTTTACATTTCCTGGATATTTCTTTCTGCTACACATACTGCTGAACTCCATTCTTAATAATTTCCTCCTCTTCTGCTTCTAGATGACTGAATCTAATGCATTTTCATGCTTCCCTCATATGGTGGTTATAAAAAGTTAATGAGTTAATATAATATAAAGTGCTTAGACCACGGCCTGACTCATAGTAGATACCCAAGAAATTATAGCTCTTAATATTATTATTCATATCCCACTTCCCCAAATGGTATTTTTAAAATCCTTTGTGACAAAACTAAAAAAAAATCACTAGAACTGGAGAAACATTACATAAGGTAAGAACATTTTAGGCAGCTCTCTTGAAAGACATCCCAAATCACTAAAGCATTTCTTTATACTCACGACAAAGTTAGATTATTTTTTTAAAAAAGCTAAAATGTACAAAATAAAGCATTTTCTCTATACTTTATGGTCAATAACATACTAAGACAAACATTAGAATAAAAAAATATAAATGCTTACTCACAGCTTATAAACCTGAACTATCTGGATAATTTTTAATAAATCTGAGTTGATTTAACAGACAGCAGGTGCTCAGTACATATTAATGAAATCTTTGACTGTCACTATATTTATTAAGGAGAGTTATCATATTAAAATCAGATGTAGGATGACTGTGACTAAGTAGTAAACTGTGTTTGTATTCTCCTGTTAGTGGTGAAGAAAATATAACTTGAAACATTTTTTTCAGATTTTAAATGAGCTCTCCCTAAAGTATTATATTGAGGACATGTGTCAACACAAGGTCATGTATAACTTTGCCAAGTCTTAAAGAACATTAGCTATAGTATAACCCCCAATAAAGTTCTCTTGGTTTTGGATCAATTTATATTTCCAAGTACTAAAAAGAAAGCAGGAGGTCATGCTAAACATTATGATGGACACTTACTCTGAGTTTATGTTCTTTCCTGTTTACAATCACAGCTGTGATCTGCTGGTCCATGAAGATCAGAATGGTGACTAACAAAGCAGGGATGGCAGCAGCAAGGCACACCCACCAGGGGTTTCCTCCAAATGGTGGGACAAACCAACCTCGGTTTGGACTTGTCGGCTTGAAGAAGAGAGAGAAGATTTTTCAGAACAATATGAAGCTAAATCACACTACTTGGAGAAGAATCAACGGGGGAGACATATTTTTATTCTTGGAGAGTCAATACATTGAAAAATAGAAACAATTACAGGCCGGAAAAAGATTATTCACCAAATTCTTCTCAAAAGACGTTATTTTTGAGGCAATTCTTTAAAGGAAGGAGAGAAAGAATATGAGCTGTTGGAAAAGAAGGGATGCCATTTTCTGTATTTGGGATGATTTAAAATAAGAACTCAAGAGGGAAGAAAGCTTAAGTTTAAGGGGCAGCCAGAAGAAAACAAAATGTAACATTCAGTAAAGTGGTTGCAAGAAATTACAAAACCACCATGAATTCTGTTCATGGGTTTTAGCAATTACAATAAAGTTGTTTCTATTGCTTCCAAATTATAATAGCTTAATAATATAACATATAAAAAACTAAAAATATTTTACACATCATAACCAAACACATTTAAACATTCTGGTCTCTTATTTTACATATAAAAATTATCCATAATAACCAGTTAAATCCTCAGAAATATCACAGAAAACTAGGGAAAAAAATGACATTTTTCCAGTTCTATTTTCTGCCAGCAGACTATATATGTTACTACAGAAAAAAAAATTCCTATGTTTTTTCTTACCTTAAACAATGCAAATAAAGACACTAGAATAGAATACTATCTATGAATTATTTTCTTTGGTTTTGCTATCTATCACAAAAGCCTACTTCTGCTCTGAGGATTTTTCCATCTTCTGTCTCACCTTGCTCACAGCTCCATCACTGAATCTATCCACATTTTACCTTTACCAGGTTGTGAGCTTGTAAGAAAAGAAGCTTTGTCTTGCTCATCAATGCATTTCAAATCCCCAGTCTAGATCCTGACTCATTCAAGAAGTATTAACTTAAATGAATTAATGATTGAGTGAATGAGAACTTATCTTTGCTAATGAATATATGAGGGCAGAAGCAATGCAAAAAATATTGTGTGCTGCAACATATATTGCTTCCTTGGTAAGTAGCCATTAAACTAAAACTTCTGTTAGCTTAATATTTCTTAGCAAATATATGATCTCAGTAGAGAGAGTGCGTATTGTTCTAGAAAATAGGTGAAAGAATTGTAATGGAAAATTACGTAGGGATGTATTGAGGAATGTCTTAAATGTCCATTTTATTCATTACACTGTACATACCAATAGGTTCATAAAATAAATTTCTTATATCTTCTTTGTAATAATTAAAATTCACATTATAAATATATATGTATTGCAGGCTGTTTGGTAGTATGCAAACAACATTGAATTAGGAGTCTATAGGCCTGGGTTCTAATTTCACATCCTGATACTACTATTCCTCTAATCTTGGGCATTTTACTTAATTTTTATGAGCTTTAATCTCAACTTTATAAAATCAAGAGGATGATAGTTGCATCACATAATCCCTAGAATTATTTTATAAATAAAGGTGTAAAGTGTATGAAAATACTTTGAATATTTTTAAATATTCTAAAGATATAAAGCAGAGTTTGTGGAGTTATTGTAAGTTATTTTTTTAAAAAAATCAATATAATGTGAACCTTGCATTTAATCCAAGTCTTGGTATTTAATTTTAGCAAAGAAATTAGACTAAATGTATATATAAGCCTAACAAAGGACTGCTTTTGAAGAAAAGAAATAAATAATTGGACAAAATTCACTCAAAGAGAGACACAATAAACTAGAATAAGGAAAAAAAAGAAAACCAAAGAGTTCCAGGAATAACCAAAAGATACACATTCACCTACCTTGAACTCGCTTGGCACAATTAGTTTTGGAGTGTCCACACCTACCAGGGCATCTATTATACAAAAGATGAGAATGGACAAGATAATGGCAAAATCACTGATCAGTTTTCTTGCCTGGAAAAATAAAAAAGAAACCAGAGACCACTTACCACTGAATATACATATTTGCCTGCACTTGAAATTAATGAAGAATTCTGTATTTGCTAAGTTTATAGTAACAGCTTCATCAACAAATTGAAGGAGGTGTCACACTTTAGAGAGTTTTGTTTGTTTTTGCATCACTTTATCACGTGGCCAGATATAATCTGATCCCACAGAACGGGTCACAATGTGTGTGTGTGTGTGTGTGTGTGTGTGTGTGTGTGTGTGTGTGCGGGGGGGTGGGGGAGGGCAATCAAACAAAATACATTCCTGAAATACTGTACAAACACCTGTCTTTATGGAGCACAGAGGACACCTGGATAAGAATGGAATCTAAGTGCATATTGTAAAAATCTGCACAAAGACATAGAGTTCTGTTCATTATTTGGGAGGTAGCACTGTGAGTATACAGCAAGATATATACTACAAGGTAACCTGAAAACACCAAGAATCTAGCAGGGAAGGGGCTACAAATTCCAGTTCACTGACTGAGGTAAATATCAAGACCTCAGATTAATGTCAAGTGACGGAAGATGGAAACATGATGTTGTACTTGCTTTGCTGAAAAATATATTTCTCACTCCGAGCTAGTGCTCAAAGTCTCCTGTATGTGGAGCATCTCTTCTCCACTACTTCTTAAGTGTGGTCACCATTATTTGATAACTCTCCAAATTCCTAAGTCTGGGCTGTATGGGATGTAGCATTAAACCCAGACGTTCCCCATGAAGTGGGTATAGAATGGCCATTAATGAGTCTGTAAGGGCATAGGACCATTTAGTTGCTTGGAGGTTGCTCTGTACTCTCTAGTGGCACTAACAAGGGCCTAAAAGCATTACTAGAGCACACACACCTGAGTTTCCCATACGATGGGTACACATGATAGTGCATAATTTGAGCATTCAGAAAAATCTACTCAGTCCCTGACCCTTTGCTTGGTGCTAAGGATATCACAGTGAATAAAACAGACACAATCCGTTTCCTCATGAAGCTCACAGCCAAGTTATGTACAATAAAATTGGGGTCAATTCAGAGGCTATCATACTATCTCAGGGTAAGCAATCAGTTTCTGATGTTGCTAGATGAAGGAGGAGAGATCAGTGATGGACGGAGTGGATGCGCAGTTCTCAAGACAGAGGGTTTCATGGGACTACTGCAGCCGCATACTCAGTAGAAACTGAAGAATGAAAATTTCTGGGTGGCATGAGTATGCTAAAGGCTGTAGTGCTCAATTCTTGGCCAATACCTGGTGTCAGGAGCCTTGGGTGCTAACTAGCAGTAGGATCAAACATGGTCCTTTTGGTCACCAGTGCCCTTCCCTCTTGGAGGGCTGGATTTTGCTGGTTTTTGCTTTCTTAAGAAGTACATACCAAGGAACATTAGGCCAGCTATGGGAATTTTTCACGGCAAGTTAATATACCGATTGTGGGCAATAATTTTAAGAACAAACAGATAGCAGGGATCAATTTGGAGAGAAGATATAGTACAGGGGTTATGAACATAGTTACTACAGTCAGATTATGTGGGCTGGAATTCCAGCACCATTATTTACTCTCTGTAAATACTTATCCATTCTTAGCTTCAATTACTTCATCTGCAAACATAGCCAAAATAATCTCTACAACTTCATTGGTTCGCTATAAGATTTAGATAAAATAAGCCATGAAATTGCTTCACATATCTAGAATATAATAAACTCCCCTAAAATAAGCTAACAATTGTTATTTCAAGTTCCAGAAGGCCTCTTGACTGTAGAGACTCCTGGAATAACTAAAAGATATACTGTCAGGAGGTCCATGAAAGGAAGCTTCAACTCCAAGAAACAAGAAATAAAAGCCCAATAATAATGTGGAACTGCCACTCAGAGCTAATTTGGTTGGAAGTATCTGGAATTACTGCAGAAAAAGAATGTTTCCCAGGGGCTCAATACTGGAGGAAGCTCTCATTTCTTAGGTTTTTGTGCAAGTAGTGTTGACACATGCAGTTCAGGATGGTCTGGCAAAAGATGGTCATGCGAAGCAGTTTTAGGAATATGTTAGGACATTACAACCATCCCTCTTGTCCAGTAGGTCATAAATCATTGAAGGACCAAAGGTCATCGCAGAGGTAAAAAAGAAGCTAGATCTTATTTATCACCCTCCCAATCCTCACTCAGAAAATCCAACTTGCTCACAACTCCAATATCCCATAAGTTGTTCAAAAGGAAAAAAACAGTTATCTAAAAGACAGACAGCTTTCCTCCTTTTTGTTTTGTTTTGTTTTGTTTTGTTTAATAAACCAGAGAAGGGAAAGAGAGGGTAGAAAATGAATCCAATCTGCAATTCCTTGTAGAAATTTACATAGAACCAATACCTCTGGCCCTGCTAGAGGACAGACCTGCTTGACTGGCATCACTACCAGGCACCTGGGAAATGTTGCTTTTTTAGTTGGGAGGGAAGTCATTCTCAGCCTTCAGTAAATTGAACACCCTGCAAAACCAACATGGCAAACAGGACATCATCACTGAGAGCCACATGTGGTACTCCTGATTGGCCACATAATACTCCATGAGATAGTGAAAGCAAGGCACATGGTCTCAAGTACCAACAAAAACAAAGTACACTGAAAACTCTAAATGGCTTTAAGAAATTATTTAAGTTATGAAAATATCTAAAGAAAACAATGAACTTTTTTCATAAAAATATACCAACTATATTTTGATTCGGATGGTAGTTAAGCAAGTGTAAATATTTGTCAAAATTTATTGAACTGCATACTTATTATCTGTATGTTATACTATGTAAATTATACCTCCGTTTAAAATACACCTCCACATCCCCCCCAAAATCTCAGAACTTTTAAATCTAAATCAGTACTGTCTTTCAAATTATTCTTTTTAACTAAATCAGTATTGTCTTTCTAATTATTCTCTTTGAAAAACTATTCATTTATTTCAATGGCAGTACTATTGTGACAAATAATTTTTAAATTCCTTTTCTAATTTTATTACTGAGCAAAGGCTGTTTGACTACCCCATTAACCATTAATATATATGTCTGAAGGACCCATGATTCCATCCTCTTTGAAATTTATTTTATTTTTCTTGTATTAAAATTAATATTTGTCATTGCAGAACATTTAGAAAAAAATAGATGAACAAAAAAATGTTTTTCATTCCACTACCTAGGAATAAATTTTAACATTTGTAAATATATCCTTCTTTTGTATATATGTATGTCCATTTATGTGTAAACATAGCTTTTCACATACTGTTTGATCTCTCGCTTTTTTCACTTTTTCTAACTCATTTGATATTTTCTATAATAGTAAGCATAATAATTCCATAGTATTATGCTGAATGTATATCCCAAAATCCATTTTTCTAATACTCTACTGTTTTTAGACTGTTTCCAGCTTTTCACTACAATAAACAATATCACAAAAAAATCATTGTACGTATCTATCTAAAGACTTTTGTTACAATACTTTCATGTAAGCAGAATTATTATGCCAATGTGTATTAAAAAATTTAAGGCTTTTGGCATGTAATGTCAAATTACCCTCTAGAATGTTATACTGATTTACTAATTTTCACTCTACTCAATAATATAATGGATATATTTAAAAGTTAAATCCATACTCAAGGGGAAGGCAATCCGTCACCACTAAGGATATTCAAAAAAATATAAAATTGTCATATCCCCTAAAATTATAAATTCTGTAACTTATGAAGCAAGTGAATTCCTTGCTCCATTCTGAACTCTCATATTTAAGACAGATCATACATAAATATACCGCCCTCTATGGATGGCAGCAATATGTACAGTTGGCCCTTTGTACCTATGGGTTCTACATCTGTGGATTCAACCAACCATAGATTGCAAATATTCGGGGGGAAAAATGGATGGTTGTTCTGTAGTGAACATGTACAAACTTCTTTTCTTTGGCATTATTCCCTAAACAACACAGTGTAACAACTAATTAAATAGCACTTACATTGTATTAGGTGTTATAAGTAATCTAGAGATGATTTAAAGTACACAAAAGGATAGGTGTAGGTTACATGAAAATACTGCACCATTTTATATAAGGAACTTGAGCATCCATGTACTTTGATATCCAGGGTCCTGGAACAAATCTCCCATGAATGCCGGGGGACTATATTCTCTAAAGTATCTCATTAAACTTCAAACACCAAATATTATATGGGTAGAGAATAAACACCAAACTACCAATGAATACAGTGTAAATTCTGATAGCATAATATTTGCATGGTAATAGTCCAGCCAGCCAGTGTAATTTTTCAAAAGTACTTGCTGGAATATACCAGTTATGTTCTAACTTAGGAATACTCTGATATTCTGCAGATATTCTGGAAATAATCTAGTAAACCTGGTTTTCATTTTACTTTACTAGCTACTCTCAGCTGTCTCTGCTGGTTTCTCCTCAGCTCCTCCAAACTCTTCAGGTTGGAGCATCCCAGAGTTCAGACTTTGGTCTCTTTCCTCTATCTATACTCTCACCATAAGTGACATCATTTAGTCTCATGCTTTAAAATACCGTCCACATGCTGGTATATCACCAGGCCAGACCACTCCTCTAAATTCCAGAATCATCTATCTAACTACCTGACACCTTCACTTGGAGTTCTTATTGTCATCTCAAGCTTAACATGTCAAAACTAAGTGCTTAGTCTCCTTCTGGCTCCCGTTCCCCATCCAGCCTGCCCCACCACTGATACCCTAAACCTGCTCTTTCAGTAGTTTTCTCCATCTTAATTAATGGCAGCTTAATTTTCTCCATTGCTCAGGACAAAAACTTTGAAATCTACTTGACTCTTCTCTTTCTCTCATAGCCTACATCTAACAGGTCAGAAAATTATCTGGAAAATGCATCTAGGATCATGCCATCTCTTACCACTTCCATTGCTATTGCCAGCCTGTCTAAGCCCCCAACCTTATCTCCTATGGTTTCCTGCATTAGCTTCCTATATGGTC